CCTTTCCTTCCCTTCCCTTCCCTTCCCTTCCCTTCCCTTCCCTTCCCTTCCCTTCCCTTCCCTTCCTTTCCCTCTCCTCTCCTCTCTTCTTCTTTTTCTTCTTTCTTTCTCCTCTCTCTTCCCTTCCCTTTTCTTCTCTTCCTTTCCTTTCCTTTTTCCCCCTCCTTTCCCCTCCTTTTTCCCCCTCCCTTCCCCTTCTTTTCCCTCCCCTCCCCCCTCTCCTCTCCTCTTCTTTTTTATTTTCTATTTGACCAGAGAGGGACAGAGAATGTCCTCTGTCCAGACTATGTGAGAGAGAGGGAAAGTGAGAAAGCAAGCCACCAGGTCCAGGACTCAAAACGTGGTTGGCTATGTGGGAGCCCAGTGCCCTTAACCACCACGCCACTTGCTGGTCCCTAGTCCAGCATTTTTAGTGGCTTTCATTGGATGGCTAGTCTGATAGAAGCCAATCTACTCTTGTCAGAAGAATAGCCTTTTGCTGTTACATTCTTCCGTCAGTTAGCGTGAAATAATGGTATTTCTTAGCGTATGATGTCAGAAGAGAAAAACCTTTCTTTCTCCTCAAAAATAACACTGCATACCTCTTCTGAGCAGTGAATAATCCTATGTGCTGTGTTTGTATGCTTATATTCATTTGGCAATTCTCATCTCTTACAGGTTGCTTAGCCAAACAATGAAGGATCATCTCGTAAGAGTAGCGAACGAAGCTGAATTTATCCTGAGCAGACAGAGAGCAGAAGATATTCATAGACATGCAGAATTTGAGGTAGGTTACACATGTGGTTCAGGTGAGGAAATTAGTCTTTTGTTGATAATCACAGGAAACTACCCAGGGGAAATGGCAATATGGTCCAGGAAGACTGGGTGAGTAATAAAGAATAGAGGTTTATTTGGCTTACAGTTCTGGTGTCTGGAAACTCTAAGGACATGTGACTGGCAATCTGACCAGCCTATGGTATTGTATCACAACATGGCCAAGAGAAGGCAAGTCTACCGGTACGTACAGGAAGAGAGAGGAAAAGGAGAAGAACATAGAATTTTCCACTTCTTCTGTTTGTCTCTGCCACATTTTCAGCTGATGGGATAGTACCTGCCCACATTGAAGGTGGGTCTTCCTCCCTCAGCTCACCGAGTGTCATGCCAATCTTGTGTGGGAAGGCGCCCACCCACGTCGAATGAGGGTCTTACTGTTAAACGTCTTACCACTTCCCAGTGTTATCATATTAGAGCCCAAATTTCCACACTTGAACTCTTTGGGAACAAATTGATACCTACTGTCACTGTTATTATTTTATGTAATTTTTGATGTTCTTGTAAAGGCAAGCCATAGTTCATATAAATGCTTAAAAAGAGGTCATATGATTACTTTCAAACTCCTAATGCTCTTATCTAGGAAAATCTAAGTAATTCTTAAATATTTTTCTTTGAGAATTAATAAAGGAATTGGTGAGATTAGTAAGTACAAGATAAATATGCCACAATTTAATAACTGTTTACTCCTTGGAAAAAAGTATAGAATCTCATTGAAAGATAAAAAGTAAATATAAACGAGTGAAAAGTCATTTCCTTTTGGCTATCTTGGAGGCTTGATGTGTATGTATGTGTGTGTGTGTCTGTCATACCCTGATTATATCAGTATTTCATTTTGAAATAATTTGAGATTTACAGAAAGTCTGAAAGAATAATACAAGAACTCTTGTTCACTCTTCTCCCAGATTTTATTAATTTAAAAGTTTTAACCTCATTTTTCTGGGCACCCCTTTTTTTTTTCCTTTCTGAATTGGATAGTAACTTGAAGTCAGAAGATACTTTTACCTCAAAATACTTCAGTGGGAATTTCCTAGGCACATTCTCTGTTATATCAGTATTTCATTTTGAAATAATTTGAGATTTACAGAAAGTCTGAAAGAATAATACAAGAACTCTTGTTCACTCTTCTCCCAGATTTTATTAATTTAAAAGTTTTAACCTCATTTTTCTGGGCACCCCTTTTTTTTTCCTTTCTGAATTGGGTAGTAACTTGAAGTCAGAAGATACTTTTACCTCAAAATACTTCAGTGGGAATTTCCTAGGCACATTCTCTGTCTTAATCTGGCACAGTTATCAAAATGAAAACAATTGATGTTGGTCCAGTGGCGTTGTTTAACCTACAGACATTATTTCTGTCTTTCCAGTTGTTTCTCTAATGTCCTTCATAGCAAAGAGAAAAAGTATCAATGTCACAAAATGTTAATTTTTGTCAATTATGGTATTTCATTGCAGTATCCATTACTTTCCATTCCATTAGACTAACAGTGGAATTAATTTGGAATTTAAATGTCCCCTTTAAAAATACTTAACAACATTCAGAGACCAGAGGTGGTGTAATGGTTAAGGTGCTGGACTCCCTCTTGGTCAACTGCAGTTTGAGTCCTGGACCCAGTGGCTTGAAACTCACTCTGAGCACATGTGCATACATGCTCAAAGTCCTGGAAGGAAAGGGGATTACGGTGTGACGAGCCCTCTGGCAGGGGGTGATTTCTTCCTTTCTGTCTGTCTTTCTCAATTTCTCTAGCAAGTGCACATGCTCCATAGTAAAACTCTATCTTAAAAAAATTAAAACATTTAAATATTATATTTGATATTCAGACATCCAATTGTTATGGGAAAATTCATGCTTTACAATAGCCCTGAAATTTTTTAAAAAGAGCTTAGAGGATATACTTGCCTCTAAATATTAAAACAATGCTGTGAAGGCAGATATTAAAATCTAGATGGAATAAGGATATAGGATAAAAGGTAACAGATAATTATGTTTTTAAGCTTATTTTTTAAATTTAATTTTTAAGAATTTTTGCCATAAGATATGTGCACTCACCAGAGAGAGATGGAGAGAGACAGTGAGAAGAAAAGTGAAAAAATCACCTGTTTGAGATGATGGCCGCACTGCCGTCCCTTCTCCATTCTCCTCTTGGGATTTTGGGTATGCACACACATGGGCCCAGTGTGATTTTCAAGCCACCAGGTCCAGGACCCCAAATGTGTGGGAGAGTGTGTGTGCAAGAGAGAGACAGACAGACAGAAGAACCCTTGACGGGCTGGATATGCACCGCCCTGCCCCGCCACTATCTTTCCTGCTTATTAGGATCTTGTTTTAGGTAGACCTGACTGGGAATCTGAACCCATGGTTGGCCATATGGCTTCCAGCACTCCAGTTTGGTATACTACCAACTACGCTACAGAGGCTGGGCCAATGTAGTAAAATATGGTGGAAAAAAAGGTGTGGAAAATTGTAAAAGTGGAACTGAGATATGTACAAAGTATAAATGTAAAAATAGACATTTATTACTACATGCAACATTAAGATAACGTAAATGATTAATGTATTCATTCTACTGATAATCCTTACGAAATGACTGGAGAGCAGGTAGGTCTTCAGAGGATATAAATAGGAAATTCGCAGAAGAACTAAGTGACCAACAAGCATATAAAATGATCCACAAATATTCAAGGAAATATAGAGAAATTCTGATCACTTCTTTATTCTCAGATTGAGAGAAAGTGAGAGGAATGATAATGTATACTGAGAAAGGGAATAAGGGGGAAGAGACAGGCAATGGAAATTTCCACAAACTGTCAGTGGAAATGTGTACTTTTACTTTTATGGGAAAACAGTATTGTCAGATCTATTAAAATAGTCATACAGACACGTTCACATCACTCACAACACCCACCTACCCAGTAGTTCGATTTCTGTATCTTTTAGGAATAAAGATAATAGCATGTAAAAGACAGGTTTACAAGACTGTATATTTCAGCATTATAGGTATATTTAGCAAAATAAAAAGGGATCAAGGGGTCCCAACCTAGTGGCAGGAGTGATTGGCTGGATTTCATCCCTTATTGATCTTAACCCAAACGTTCCTGTTGGAATCTTAGCAGTAGTTTTGACAGCATCAGTGGTCATCTCACTAGCTATGTTTAAAAAGCAATATGGAGGGGCCAACAAGTGGCATGGTGGTTAAAGGCGCTGGACTCCCACATGGCCAACCACGGTTCAAGTCTTGGACCTGGTGGCTTGCTTTCTCACTTCTTCTCTCTCTGTCTCTCTCTGATCAAACTGGAAAATAATAATGATAATAATGATGAATAAGGTAAAATAAAATAATTCTTTTAAAAAGATGATGTGGACTAGATTGAGCCACAGGTGCTAGTTTTGAGAAGGCCCGAGAAGATTTCGCAACAGGTGCGATGTCCAGCGGACCTGTTCAGACCACAGCTGCAATGCAGCCTCAGCCGCAGCAACTGGTACGGCTCAGAGTGCTTCCGGGGTAACCAGCTGGGAGGATGTTCCCGGAGCACACCGCTGCCTTCCACTGTACTTTTCTCTAGTTACTGTACCTACACATATCTGTATGTTCAAAACACACAGTACCCACAGCATGGGTGTTTCCTGCTCACTCATGACTGGGCTAAACCCAGAAAAACTTCCTGTCTTACTGCTTTACCTAATAGTTTCTACATCTTTCAGTATCCCTTGCAGAAAAATATATTAGACGCTAAGTAAATATTCTCCATATGTTTTAGAGGATGATGCTCACCAAATTATTTCAGTGGTAACACACTGAAATTAATTTAGTATTTATAATTAAAAATGTACTTTGTACTCACTGCAGTCATTCTTTCAGGAATTTTTAAGAGATAAAGATTGTACATTGGAACGGGGAAGCCATGTTTCATTGCTTGTTCCTTGTTTATATGGAAAGAAACAGGCCAGTAGAAACATAGGGGTTTTTAAATTGGCTTGCTTTCCATCGCCAGCGAGGAGCCTGTGTGAATTTCATAGAAGATATTGTAATCTTTATCTTCTTTTTCTTTTCTTTTTTACAGTAGTCGATATTTTAATGACAATAGATGAGCATCCTGTTATTAAAAGAAAGCGTGTTTTGGTTTCTGTACGGTGTATGTTTGTAGGATTCAGGGGTATTTATGGAGTCATCGAAATGATTTTCTGTATTTGTTTCCTTTGAATAAAAATGTATTAGGCTGCAAAAAAATCAAGGAAGAACACAGGAAATGTTTCCTTAAAACAATTATTTTCTAAATTAGTAGGTGGTTAATAAATTATGAAAAAAGTAAAAAGGATCGATTGTTTCTGTTTTTAAAGCAAAGGCTTTATTGAGATATTCATATTATTCTTTTCAGTGTATTCATGTCGTTACTTTTTACATTACATTTTTCAGTGCACACCCTCCTATAATGTCTGAGGCTATTATTTCTCTGTGCCATTTTTTCATGTTTTCTTTTCGCACCTCCTATTCAGCTATTTAATTTAAGTGAGAGATTTTTGCTATAGGGCTCATACGCTTGTCAGAGAGACAGAGAGAAATAGACGCAAAGTGAGAAATCACCCCCCAGGGATGGAGGGACCCCATCACAGACCCTTCTCCTCCATTCTCCTCTCAGGATCTTGGGCACGCATGCACATGCGCCCAGCGTGAGTTTAAGCCACCAGGTCCAGGACTCGAACTGCGGTTGACTACATGGGAATCCAGCAACATAGCCATTACGCCATCTGTTGTTCCCTCCAGGTTCTTTCTTTTGACTCAATTTTTAATTTGCTGGATTTTTCTTTTTTTTATATACAATGAACTCGTGCTATACACTTAAAATTCTTGCACGTCTGAGGATATTCGAGTGCTGTCTGGATACTGAATGGGATTCTGATGGTTTAATTGTTCAGGCAAGCTTGCATTCCTTACGTCTTCAGATCCTGCTTCTGTGTCT